CGCGGGGCACAACCGCCGGGCCCCGCGGGAAACCGCCGGTCGGCGCTCGGCCGCCGAGGGTAGCGGTGCGGGCTCTTCTTCCCCCCTAAAAGCCAGAAATCGTAGCAGCACCTCGCTGTCTTAGTTCCACCCTTTCAGGTGCGCGGGAGCCGCTCACCACCTCTTCCTGCGGGCGCAAGGACGATTACAGGCATTTACGGCAGGTGCGCCGACATAAGGATTAGGACAATTCAGCCACGCCAGTTGAATAGTCCATCGTTTCAAACCCGTGCATGGCCAACGCGAGCAGAGGTCAAAGCACAAAGAGCACATCTTTCGCTGCGCTTCTCCAAGTTCACTGACGAGCTTTGCTCCCCTTAAAGGCAGCCCAAGCTCTGGTGCGCACGACCTTCAGCCCTCTCCACGGGCTGGCCAGTCAGGAGCAGAACTGCTCAACAGCTTTCCTGGCCAAGCCGGCTATGCTTCAAGATCTCCCAGCTCTCGTACTCCTTTTGGTGTGATTCCCGCCAACCCATCGTGTCTGACTTTCCACTGTGGCCTCTTGTATTTTACTCCTGGAGATGACACGAGGCATTAAACAACACTTGGCAACTCAGTGTTACTTGACTCGGAACTCCCCTCCAAGCTCTGCAAATGAAGGTCAGCCCTTTATTTGCTAAGATCCCACCAAGATAGTCACAGGGACAGAGTTGGCAATGGATCTGAGAAAGCGCCGGAGTTAATGTACTCCTACATGTGACAGAAGCAGCTTTCTTGTTTGCTAAATGAAACATCTGCAGTGCTTACGATCAGAGCTTTATGATGCTTAACAATTTAATATCGAGAGAAACAATTTAATATCGAGAGACTGTATTAGCTGTCAGTAATGTTATCCACATTACCAGTAGCTCTTAAACAAATGAAGCTGCTGCCCAGCAGGGCCAGACCGCTAATTAGCCGGTCCCAAAGGCAGCTGGCTACTATTAAAGGCAGTAAGGTGAAGAGGCTGGGCAGAACCTCTCCTCTTTGTCCAGCTGCCAAAGCTTTAGTGATTAAGTTCACACAGATTCCTGGCATCAAAATAAGTCAAGTCTCCCCTCAGGTCACGTATAGTATAGCACTTGCAGAGGCGAAAGTCTGCCTTAAGTTCATAGTTTTCAAATCTTGATACCTGGTGCTAGGATTGAAATTGTAACTTGAACTTCTACAGGTGTTGGGAACCCGCGTATACTACAGAGCAACTGAACTCGCGGCGCTCAACCACGCTGAAGACTCAAGGCATTTTTATTCAGGTAAATCTGTGACAGCCTCTTTTTGAAATGCTTAACTGAAAGTAAAATGTTCATTTGAAAATGTTGAGCTTAGTGTAAAATCTATGGTGTCTTCCATGGTCTGAACAGTTTGTGTGGAAAGAAACTTTATTTGACCCAGTGATAACTTCAGTAAATAGTTTCCCACAAATAGAATTTAATTTATTTTTGTGGCTATCTAATAATTATTAGACACATCAGATGCATCTAATATGTTTTTAAAAATCAGTATTTTAACTGACTGTTAATCTATTACTTCTGCTTACATGATAGCAATTAAGAATTTTCAAAAGTATCACAATGTTCCCCTGAAATAGGAAAATAAATAAAATAAACAGGCCCTTCTTAAAACGAGCATATGTTTAAGAGTCCAGAACTAATAATGTACCAGCCACCTTATAATCCTCATTTAATCTCAACTGTTCAGGAAAATGATATTTAAGGAAAAAATACTGTCTTCCCACAGCCACTGTTTGCTCCCGAGTGTTATGTTAAAGCAGTATGCAAAAAGTGTCAACAACAATCAAAAATCAAAGATGATTTATTCTAGAAATATATTTTTAATGCTAATGAACCTCTTCTCTTTGGTCAGAATATTTCATTTTTAACACACTTTTGTACCTCCAGCAATTTTAAACATATAGATATATATTTGATTTTAACAGATATATAGTATAATAGGAAAAAGCAATGTGTGACAGGAAATTTACAAATGGTAATTTTTGATTCTGCAATAATGAGTAGCACTATTGTACATGTTTCCTTTCTGCAGTGGGAATTTAAAAGTCTATAGTGAATGCAGTAAGTATGTCAGTGGAGGGCAGGGAGCGAGCTGTTCAAAATCATGTGCAGACACGGTCTCTTGACAGGAATCTGCTTCCTTCAGTGTCTGCAGTTCTCACTGTGCAATGCGGTGAAACGTAAGCGCTCCACAACAGAAACCAATACCAACAGGCATTTGCAAGCACCTCTTAAGATACAGTTTCCCCCACCTCCTTTCAATGCTAACACAACACAGAATATAATAAGGTGCAGCTTTCTGACTACGAACACTCAACGAGTCTCTAAAATGCCCTGCAGTGTGCTGTACGCTTCCGACACAAGAGCCACTCCTGTCAGGTAGCCAGAAGCCCCCATCAGACTCTGACACGTCCTGAGGCTTGGCCATCTCAAGCTTCTGTGGTTGTTCCCTGTCAGGCAGTCTCAAGGAAAGCAGTCTCACAGGGAAACGAGGCAACTGTGGGTCTAGGCCAGTACTTCTCAAGGAAGTAAAAAATTGAGCTTACCGAGAAGCAGTTAATGTAAATTGCAGACTAAGGTCAGATTCTGCTGTCTTTTGGCAGGACTAGAAGTACGCTGACGGAACGAAAATAAGAATCAGCAGCATAGTGTGAAACGAATCCTTTTGGCTGACGATGTAACTGACAGTAAACTGAGTGGACTGTTGTAGCTCAGCGTGCAGAAAGTATAAACTGGTACTCCCACTCTTCCTCCCCCTTCTCTGCCATTCCACTACAGCCTCACAAGGAGGACTTGACTTGAAACAAAATGTGTTGTAGATGCCTCCTATGTCCTGCTATGCCTTTTTGGTGTTCTGCCTTCATTTCCTGGCTCCTATTGAGAATCAACACTGGAAACTAAGGAATAACGGATTGCGCAGTGCTGTATGTTGGGACCCAAACTGTGACCTACAGGATACATCAGCAGAGTAGACAAGAAGTGAGAACTTGAATAAAGATATTAATGAGAACAGTACTGGGATGGAGTAGTATCTTCTTCCTTTTAGTTTTGGACACTTTGTTGAATATATAAATGATTTGCCATGGAAGGTAAAGGAAGTCTATTCATTCCTAGTCCTAAAGAGGATGCAGACAGCTCTGCCAAACTTATAGCTGCAGGGGACTCTTAAGTCATGGCTCATTACTAGGGGCAAACAAAAATGCTTACACGAACTTTAGTGTTCACACTCAACACTGTGAAACACTGGAACATAAGCGATTTACTAAAGATAGCCTTAGCCCCTTGGGACATACAGACGCTTCCCGAGTTTCTTTGCCTTGACGTGGCATGTCATGGGCCACCATTCTATCACACATGCAACTCAACCTTCTGCCCCCTTGCCCCTTCCAGAAATGCACTAGAAAGCAAGCTGGTTTCCTCTCAGTTTTTCTTACGTCCCTAGTGTCCTGATGCAATAAATGGAACTTGGGACAAATAAACGGATTGCTCTAAAGATAGGATTCAGGGGGGTAGCCTTCAATTCAATAAGCAAAGGATATAGAAAGTTTGCAGCTACTATTTTAGTCTCTAAATTAGAACACTGGCTCTTTTGTGAAGAATCTGAAACATCTGTGCAAATAAACATAAGCAGGACAAAACCGTTCCTCCCCCAAAATTGTCTCCTCCCACAACATCCCATTTTTTGCAGATGTAAGAATGCCTTCCCTGTGTGCACACACTCTGGTTAGTCACTCTACATGTGGTGAATGGACGTGTAATTTCTAGGCTGAAGTAGTATAGAGGTGCCACCCCAAGATGCATTACCCAAGAAAAATACAGTATTTGAGGCAATCATACTTGCTACTCACACTGTGCACACCCAGGGCCTTCCAGATGGCAAAACTGAGCAATCCAACTCCGCACCACGCGTAGACTGAGCCCCATCCAAGGGCTCGTAAGGCCAGTGACGAACCACTCTCTGGTAATGCAGCCGTGGCAGTAATCCCCTAGAACCAAAAACAGTGATCAAGAAAAAGTGAACAATAATTGGAAAAAAATATGAACTAGAACAGTTATCTTAGTGATCTAAAGTTTTTCCTGACTTGCCAGCTGTACTAGTGTGGCCACAGAAACTGTTACAGCTGCCAGCAGACCCAGAGCCAAGCAAGGGGGTGGATGAGCTGCCTTCCCACCACAAGCGGCTTTCATGGTTGCCAGTACCACCTGGGGATGATTTTTATTACCCAGAAATGCTGAAGTCAACTGTTTCATGGGCACAAGAGTCCGACACTCAGTTATCCCACCAGCCAAAATACAAAACTGAATCAAAACCAGGCACAAGTCCTTATGCCAGTGACATCAGAACATAATCATTGTACATCATTGATTTTGGTACTTTTTCTTGGGGCAGTAAGGGTGGTGGGCAACCATCGGCCTACAGGTCTTTATCTGCACTCCTGAAACAGCAGATTAGGAAACTGAAGGAACCTGAGTAGCTTTCAGCTTGACACAGAGAGGGTATAACAGTGACTGAGAGACTAATTTCAACTGGCTGCAACTCTGAAGGAGCTCTGGAAACTACAACGCTGAACCCATTCCCCTGCAGAGTTCACCAAGTGGCAACATAGAAAATGCTCTGCAGTCTCGATACTTCTCATTTTTGTCAGAAACAAGAGTAGGTGGTTTTAACCACTTGTTAAGATACCGCTGTGTAAGAGTCCGCCATGAGACGTGTCCTGAAAACGCAAAACACTGTCACTCGGAAAAGCCACCTCAGGCCAAGAACAATGGAGCCTCAGCCATGATGGGGTCCCAACCACAATGAAACCTTCTCTGTCGCAGCACATAAATGCACATTGCAGCTACCAAGGGTATAAGCCACATGCTGGCTGACATCAATCAATTCGCACCGCACGTTCACCGTTAGCCAGCTGTTCTCATCTCATAACACCCTCCTTACTGTACCTATTTGGTATAGACAGCTTCAATCTGTGTAGGCCGCAACAGCAGCAAGACAGACATAATCCTCTTGCTCATAGTGGTAAATGTCAGCAAGAGGGTTCCGTTTTTTCCCCTAAAGGATCACTGTTCAATTCTTCACATGGAAACACAGATTTCAGATGGTAACTGTTAAAGACTGGCATCTACGGGCCTTACACAACTGAACAGTCCTACTTACTTACTGGGTATCTCGGGGAAAAAAAACAATTATTGCTCAGAGGTAAACATAAATGAGACTGCACGCATACAAATATATTCAATAAAGAATTATTTCATTTATAGTCTAAAATACTGAAAAGTGAAATTAACTTGTGGAAGGATCCAAAAAATTTTCCTCCAAAACATGCCAAAGAGCTGCACTTTTCTATTCATCACAAAAAGTGGGAAAAATATCTTTTGTAATCTTGCCTTAAAAAGACTTTAAAATTTTTTATTTTTTTTAAAAATGGTTCTCTTTCTTCTTTGATATAATTAAACATACGTAGTGTCTATCACTATGGTATTTGGTTAGTGAAATAGCACCAGTAGTTTTTTTCCTCTTGGCTTTGTATTTATTGAACTGTTAAAATGATCCTCAGACAGTCCTCAGCATTAACACTTTTCCTTAGGGTTTAGCTGTAGGCACAGTTATCTCAAGGACAAATACACACTTGCAAAGGGCACAAGCAAAATGTATCTTGATCCTTATTCTGATTTGGACATCCCAAAGTGGAAGCTGTTAACAAAACGATGCTCTGTAAGCACACACATACACACACACAGGCGCAAACAGCAGAGATGTCTAGTCACGCTATTATACCAGGTCCTATTATTTCCCTACCACAGCTAATGAACTTTCATAAGTCTTTCAGCAGACTGCTATGAGTAGATCTAAAATGCTGATGATTGTTTCTGACATTTTTCCTGCTTCCATAATCTAACCATATACAACAACATGCAGAAAAATTTCTCCCATTTGGAAGATGGGAAATGAATGGACAAAAATATCCTCTACACAGAACCTTTAAATAGGAGTCATTAGCTGTGAAAATTGCTGGCCAAAAAAACCCAACCCAAATACTATTTAAATGCTTGATTGCCCCAGAAAAATAGGGGTAAATGGAAACAATTGATCTGGTTTTACTGACAGCAGTCAAACAGCATCCAGTCACAGGCTGATTCCTCAGGGTAGTAAGTACACTGATAAGGATTTCTGTAAACAAGACAGTTTGTTATATGATTATTAGATATACTGTTCAGAGCATCAAGAAAGCTGGTTAATGAAACACTAAAAAATTTAAAAAGACAACAGTAGCATGGGAGATGTTACCATTAAAAGAACATTTTTAAGAGAACTGAGTTTTATTCATGAGCCCGTTATTCTATGCACAGATTGCTTTCTCTTCATTACTGCTCCTGTATTTTTTTTAAAAAAGCAACTCTTTAATTTAAAAAATAAGCTATTAAACAATACTTGAGTCTTTCTAAAAACCAGGCCAGGAAAATATAGGGCAGAATTAGCTGATCTGGTTACCAAAATATATGCTTCGTATTTAATATTTTTTTTCCTGGAGGATATAAGCAGGAAGTGGGAGAAGGAGAAATGACTTTTTTTTTTCCAGACACAGGCCTCAATCCTGTAACTATCCCTTTGTGGGTAAGAGTGTGTCTGAAAGGAAGCAGTGCCTAAAAAAAATGGCGTGTTCAACTGGTTTGGTTGATTGTATTCAGCGTGTTCACTATTTTCTATGACCTAACCCACTGTAAAATTAAACACCTGGATAAATGCTGGTAAAACTGGACACTTATCACAAGGAGGCTGCTGCATCTGAGCATTTAATTTTAAACACCCCCCCACAATCATTTCTTAACTGAAGGGTTCTGCAGTGGTTCATCACTAAACAGGATTATGTTATCTCAGTTTCGAGTCAATTTGGGCACCAGTCCTGCAAACGCTTACCTTTACTTCACTACCATGGAGGAGGTACAGTAGGTGCAATTTCAGCTCTATCTCTTGCCAGTAATGCTGATGCTACGCTACAAGAGTAGAGTCTCATACTGTTGCTTCCCGGAAGTCTGAATGCAGTCATGAAGCCATGATGCTGTGATGCTACAGCTTCCCCTCTAAATTGCTATTTTTTTCTTCCATAAAACTATTTAAAACTGTTCCAGGCTGCATTATGTTTGCTGGTCACATTCGGAACTTCCCCCAAGCTTGTGCCAGCACAGTCACTGCAGTCATGCAGTGAAGGGGATCAGAAGACTGATTTGGACTAAAACTAATGCAGGATATAAAAAAACCCTAGAATTAACCAGTATCATCTCACCAACCCAGTAGCACAAGTATTGGTGCCTTTACAGGGGCAGGAATGAATTGCCAGAAACTACAGGCTGGTAGGATTACTTCTTTCAACAGCAATGCTGGCTGATGTTTGCTTAAAGCACCCGTCAAACTACGGCCTCACCTTAACATGGATAAAAATAATATTTAGGCATTGAACATCTAAGAAGGATGCAATCATCTGTAGTTATCCATAGTTATGCTTCTGTTATTATACATGATGAGTTATTAAAAATGACTTGCAGTAAGCAACTATAAATTTAAGTAAGAATGCTACTGCAAAACTGTTTACCTCATTGGTACCTCAGAGAGCCTCTATAGGCAGTTAAGTCATTCTCAAAGTCTAGCCTTCCCTTTTGAAATTGCTCACCTACAAGTACCTTGACAAAAAAGCATCTTTATACACTTTGCAGTTAAGTTGAGGGGCCCAGGAATCACAGATTTTTGCTAGCAAATTGTTGTAATTCATTGGCACAGATAGTAGCAGATACAGGTTTTCAGCAAAAATTGAAATGGTTTGTACCACTTGGTGCCATTTCCAGCATATATATTCTCGGATATCAATGTAATGTCACTCTTGATAAGTTTCACACCAATAACAGGACAGCTCAGACAATCAAGAATACATGCGAGCTGGAAAAAATGCAATGCTCAGGAAAAAGGAAGTTTTTTTTAAAAAAAAAAGTTGTTAAAAAAAGAGAGAAAACTTCCTTACTGTAATATATTTCTGTAGCTTGTGAAATAACTTCTCATGGAGTTTTCTATTTTGTATACTTCAGAAAAGAAACCTGTGTTTATTGTCGCTGAAAAGGCAATGGACGAGTTATGCCACAGCAGCCTACAGAGGAAAATAGGATGGCAAAGGAAGGATCTCGTGCTCTTTGACCACAAAAGGAGATTGAGAGTGATCAGGTACAAAGGCTCTGATAGAAAGTGCAATGGAAGAATTTTTTTTCTCTTGATATGCATTGTTATTGAATTAACATTTTAAAAATAAACACAACTGATCAGCTCTCAGCTCCCTAAACCCATCTGTAATATATGTTGTATTTTAAGGGCTCAGTGGAGACGAGACTGATCAATTTTAAGGGCCTATTTTTGACATTTTCGGCAGTAACAAAGCATTAGTGAGGGAAAAAAGCGTTCTTCAATTAAATATGCTGTATTTCAGATTAATATACCAACATGGTATAATTGCTAGCTTTGCTTTGCCATTTTTTTCCCTTCAGAATGCTCAGGTGGATCCTGTTAGTAAATGCGCGAGAACAGATTATTTTTGGCCATCAGATCTCGTAGTACCAAGCCACTACTCACTCTCACCAGTCCCCTTACACGGTGCGAAGGGAGTGGAGAGCTTAAATTTTGACTAATGACTCCACTTACATAGGCCACAGCTTACAGGCTTTCTACCTCCTCATTCCCATCCTTACTGCAGTTACCTCGCTTCCTGATTCACTGTAGCACTGTGGGACCGCACGGTGAACCGGATCACGGAGGTGATACAGGCTCGTGACTGAAGTGTGTTCACATCACAGATCAAAACAGACCATCAATTATATTCCATTATATAGCAGTAGTAAGATTCCAGCAATCAGAGTAAGCTTTATGTACTTCAACTAATCTCAAGTACTAAAGTATTTAGCAGTGCCAACTCTGAATTGATTTTTAAATTAATCCTACCCCTATTGACTTCAATTAAGTCTAGTGCTCTTACCATCAACTTTGTACACATATATCAACATTTCTATACAGCATTTGATGCATTCTTATTTCCTGCCTACCACAATCGGAAAATAGTTTAAAAGGAACAAACCTTACTGAACCAGTCTGGGTTCTTCTTTTTTGTCATGGCAAGTGTGGTGCCAAAACCTGCTATCATTCCTGCTGTAGCCACGGTACCTAGGAAAATTCCACCTGCCAATAAAAGTTTAAGAAATAAAAATTAAGATTTTTTTTCTTAAGGGGAGGGAAAAAAAAACCCAAACCACAAAACCAAACCTGTTTTGAAAATAGAACCTGAAAAATTAAGATCTGTCAGCACATGACATCTGTCAGCACAAGTGAAAGGCACAGTTGTCCACGCTATTTACATTAACTCAATATGGCAAGAAAGCAAGAAAGAATATTTTGAAATAGAGCATTTTGAAAATTAATGGCAAGTGTATGTATTTTCAAGCCACACACACACACACAAAAAATCATTCAAATCCCAGTATGCCTTTTCACAGTACTTTGAAATGTCTCTCTCACTCCAGAGCCAGGCTACTAAAATCATCTTGTTCTATGGCTACGCCTCACCCTTCCCCAAAAGGAAGATGTAATTATTTTTGCTGCATCACTTGTTATTTCAAATGGCCACCTGAAAATCCACCAGTACCTCTGAAGACCGTTCCATAAGCAACACCCGTTCTTCAGCTTTCTTCGTTTTATGTTCTAATGCTCCATTTAAAAAAAGAAAATGACACTAGCAGGAAGCTTTCCCAAGCATTCCTCATTTTCAGTTTTCAGAGTGTTTCCAAAGTCACTTGGGGTCCTTTGATCCCTTCTAGTTCTTGCATCAAAGGCACATGTAGCCATACCTGCCCACTTTTAAGAAAAAGGCTTGTTACAAAGCCTGAGCGCACTGTACAAAACCATCTGATTCATATGAAAATTAAAAAATTTCAGGGGGTTACAAGTTCTTCCTTTGCAACTACTGATACCCAGCCCGTTTTCCCTTTCCTAATACCAGTTAGGTAATTAAAAAACTGGCCTGAATAGGGAGTAAGAAGCAAAACATGCTTATGTTAGGTCTCACTTTTTAAGAAGTAATTATCCCATTATTGCAATGGAGAAGTTTGCTGTACTCGTGTCAATGAAATCTATAACGTACCTCTTCTGGCCGGGAGCAGGAAGACCTCACACGCTGTCTGAACTCTGCACGCCTGCTGCGGTTTACATTTCAAGGTCTACTAACCAACATTTCCCTGATTTCAGAAATAGCAATTGGTCTCAAATTAACTTCTCCTCAAAGAGGAGGAGGAGCTCGATGCACGGCCTCCTTGGGAGGGGCAGGAAGGCATTGCAAGGGGCAGGCAAAGAGCGCGGCAACAGGGAGCACGCTTACAGAGACATTATCCCCTTGGGTCTGCCGGGGGGTGCATCCAACTGGTGGCGGTCTCCCTCCTCCACTCCCGGTCTTCGTGTGCCGCTGCCAGCCGCCCCCTCGGTAACCGCCTGTCGTTGGAGGCGCGTCGAGTGTCCCCGAGAGCCCAAATCGCGCAGAGGGAAAACCGGCAAAAGTTGTCAAAGCCTCTTTTAAATCAAGTCTCTTGTAGCGGGCTCACAAGGGGTTTTTTGGTTAAGTCTGTGGGACAGATAACGTCATGGACTTCACTAAATAAAGCTGGGAGAAATGCTTACTTACCGTGAATTTTACTAAGCTGTATCTTGACGAATGGTGTTGCTCTAAAGTACATCTTTTTGTTCAAAATTCTCATTCTCCCGAGTTTTGTAAATAGTTCTTCACATACAGCTAAATTCTGTCTGAATGGAATCCTAAAGTAACACTGCGAGAACCATACGTTTCTGTTCTCTTTCGTGTCTGTGCCACAGTAATTCTCAGTTGCTGTTGCTGATGGATATAAATTGCTGTACAGTTATCTATCACTCTATTGAACGTGTTCCTTTATCAAACGGTATACTAACTTACCAGGATTCAGTGCGGGCAGGTAAAGTATATTTTTATTTAAAACAGTCAGTACTTTAACAGCAAGCAAAGAATGTAAATAAATCCAAACCAAGTGTTTCTTCCCCAGCTTCCTTCTTTGTATCTTTTCATCATCATTTATAGTCTGTATCTAAGGGTCTAATTATAGGGGCTTGTGTTGCTAGGCAAAAATTTAGTATTTTGGGAAACTTCCTGTTCACGGTACTTCTGAAAACCAATCCAGAGCTGTTTCCTAATAGTCCATGTACTGTGTCAGTTAAACAAAATTTTACACAGTTAAGCAGCTATTGCAAAAGAAGTAGGCATTATCTCTGCTGTATAGCTGACCCATCATCACCAACTCAGTTTTTCTAATCTGGGCAGCACCTAAATGACTTCTAGTCTTCTTCCCTCCTTTGGAAAAAGCACCCCAAAATCCTGTGTGTGTTTTGGAATAGCATTAGACTTTGCCACAAATAGTAAAAAAAAACTCCTGGAAAAGCTTAGAAAAGGTGGTCTTAGAAAAACTGCACAGTGACAGTATTAAAAGAGGAAATTACTTTTTATTTTATCTTCATGCTGAAGCATATATGATTATATAAAGTATTTAAATGTTATTAGTATGCATAAAACTAAAACAGCATGCATGTCATTTTGATTGTAAATTTTGTCAAGAACACCATTGCATCTGCTAGAAGAATCCTTGATCTGTGAGATAATAACCTATTTTTTTGTGGTTTTGGTGATAAAATCCTAGATTTTCTTCTCAGGATAGTTTTTTGAGTTCACATCAATCAAGACATCACTTTCTTTCAAATCTTTTCCAGAACTGGGAAGAAAAAGAAGAGGAAAGGTATAATGATGTTATTTAATCCTGGTTTGAACAATGCCAAGAATCTATCTTTAAGAGAGCCAGATAAAATCTGTCTCTATTAGTCATTCACGGAGTCTTAAAGTAGGGCATAAACCCCATGAAATCCACTCTGTCTTACTGAATAACTTAAAATTCTTAGTGTTGTAAAATAAATTGTCCTGCTGTAAAAAAACAAGAGATGTTCAGCAGAATTGCATCCATTTAGGTTACAATATTAATCTCTTCTTGTTATATAATTGAATATAATATAATGCTTTCTCTCCTTTTATGTATACCTTCGCCCAAGAGCCGTGCATTTTCTGTCATTATTCCTTCTTCGTCGCTGTTAACGATGCACATGCAAGCGTACTCATCTACATATGGCTACTCAGAATTAACCAGTTATCTTTTTCTAAAAATCAGTTATGCTCTTCTAAAAGTGGACACGTTTTTGTTTGAAGGACAGATTTTAATGATTCTAATACCAAATATCCAAACCTTCATAAAATGAGGGCATGAAAATGTATGTGCAAATAAGTAGGTTATATAGGTGATAGCAGAGTTGAAAAATACATTCCTTTTACTCATTTCATTTGACCACAGGTCTGAGCTCTCGGCTTTGAATTTGGACAAAGCAACAGTAATTGCATGACCTGCAGGTTCAGGCACCGCGCGCACGTTTACTTTCTGTCGAGGTTTGCAGTAGCCAGGATGCCCTGAGTTTCACCGAGAAGCAATTGTGGATGGTGGGCTTCCTTCTGTGGGCTTCCTGTTATGTTACAAAAAATTTTGTGAGCCAAAAGCAGACAGAGGCAACCAAAGTTTTATCTGCAAAGTATGTGTCAATCTCCACCTGTGATTCTGAAGTTACGGTTAGGATTTCTACATCGACCCCTGGGTTTTAATGAAAAATTGGCAACACAGTGCCTCTCTCGCGGAAGTTCATAAAGTTGTACAGTATTGGCGAGGGAGAAGTGTGGAAAGAGGATAAGCAAGAGCACAAGGAAGGAAAGAAATTTAAGAAAAATACAAAAGAAACAAGTTTGCATAAATATTTCCCTAAGAGGTTTTTATAATCTTTGCGAATGCATGGTATTCCGGCCAATAAGCAGCTCTATCAAGAAATAAAAGCACGGTGCGCAAACTTCTTAACACAATGCTGCGAAATATTTCAGTCCTGGCCTGTGTTTCTCCTGCTCCCCTTCCTCTTCTGTGCAGGACTGCACAGTGATACCTGGCCATCTCCACTGAAGGTGAGTTTCACTTGAGGACCGAGCTTGCAATTTAGGTCTTCAGAGGAGAAGCAGCTAGTTTACAAGCTGACTGGGACATAATAAATGCAGTAATTTGATACATTCACTAAATTATCTAACAGTCTGATTTTATATATCCGAAACAGTCTTGAGTGCCACTGCAAAAAAAATTGGCAGCTGAGGCACAGAATCCTGCTTGGAGTTTGAAAATCCAATGCAAAACATAGAGGAGGTTGATTTGAATACTGGTTAAACTGACATGTTCGGTAACAGAACTGGATTATGTAAAAGAATTTGGGAAAGAGCCAAACACTGGTTTTGGAAAGAGAAAATGCAGCAGTTGAGCTACTCTCCAGCTCTCGGGAGAGCTGAGCTTTGCTCTCCGCCTGACTTGGTGGGCTCATTTCCTGTATTTATGGAAGCTTTGATATTCCTGAAAGCACCGGCAGGGGCATGAAGAAACCCGTTACGTATTTCCAAACAATTTTCTGGTCAATGGGACAAGAAGTAGAAGCGTTCTGCAGCTATGATTGGGTTTCTGCAGAAACCGCTGTTTTTACAGTAAGCTGGTTACTGTTGTGCATCTCTTAAAAATCTGGTGACTGAAATTCCCATGTTGAGAGTAAGTACTCGAGTCTCTTGTTTCATATCGCAGCAAAAATCTGGTCACTGAACGACGATTTATAGACTTTAACCACAGAAATACTGACAAAGTCAGTGCTCATTTGTCAAATGTAAGAACAATTATAAGAAGAGCCTTGCATTGGAGAATCAAAAGACACTTTAAAAATATTGGTTGAGCTAGCTTCGCACATTTATGGGAGGGGTATTTTTCCATTTGGAGAAGATGAGGAAATTAATCGGTTTGCATAAAGTTCTGCTGTAGTTCTCTGGCAAAAGCAGGAGCCGAGAGGCCGGATCTCCAGATTCCCGGTCACCTCCCCCAGCCCCAGAGCTGCCTTTCTAAGCTGCAGCTTACTTCTGCAGAATATGAAACGCTTCTTTCTTAATTTCACTTTTACATTTGGTTATTCAGCAGGGCATGTCAGGCGTAACTTTGGACAAGACTGAGTGTGCCAGCATGCTGCACTGACACCACAGCAGCATTGCTTTTTATGGCCAGAGCCTGGCCGCGTTTCAGTAAATGGCAAAAGTGCCATTGGCAGTATGGCCGGAGTTTCAGTTATAAATCCCAAATTAGCACTTACGGATGATGACATTATGGCTGGTCAGAGGCGCCCTACAAATTTCAGAGCTGTTGATAATACATATCAAGGCTGTCGTATGCCTTGGGTGGCATTTACGTGGGGCTGCAGAGATGAGAACGCTTACGGAGGGTCTTCTTGCATATGCATGTATCTACTTGTTTTCTATTCTTATCCTTTACTAAATTATATGTTTTATTACCTGCTCAGTGTTGACAATATTCTCTCTTGGCAAGTAAAATATGCCCCTATCTCTTTGGCTCTGCCCACATTAACTAGAGAGGTAAATCATAGATCCCTTCCCAATTCCTGTGGTATTACCACTGTCTTTAGAGACCTAGCAAATATGTTCACGAGCTCTTTTTTAATTTTACTGGGTACCATGTCTTTAATGGTCTCAGTATGTATTTCATTATAGAATAGTACTCTATCAACTTTTAATAGTTACTTTGCTGTTCCATATTAGAAAACCCTTTAACATGGTCCAGAAAAAAATGTATTTCTGACTGAATTAAAAAAAGAAACAGCAAAAATTAATTATTATTTCCACGGTGTCATCAGAACTTGGCCTGGTACTTGAAGCTCAGCCGCTCTGCCTGGATGTTGCAACCTGAGGTAGCAGCGGTGGTCCTGCACCACCATGTAGATCAACCAGCTGACCAGGTCTGCCTTGTGAGAGCCTGGAAGCAGGATTTTCTACAGAGAAAATCTGCTCCTGGCCCACATGGCCAGAATTGGAAACTTCCAAAATCATGGTTGGCAGGACAGAGGAGGCCTCTTGGTGACAGTCCAATACGTAGACTTGTCCACCTTGTGTGTTTCCTGCTGTGGGCTCCGGGAGATGACTTTGTTGGTAGCTCAGACAGGTCCCCATGAGGACGGTCAGGCTCAGATCAGAGCACGTGGAGATGTTGTGCAGTTTCCTTTCAAGGAAGATTTCACGAGGATAAAGCCCTGAGTGAGCTG